AATAAATTGACTCCCTACTTATGTCCATAATTTGCCCGAATGGTGATAGGACCACGATGTATTGTGTCTGTTTGCTATTTTAATGCTTTTTGTTTGTAAATTATTTAAGAATTCCGTAGTATCATTAGTTTGTATATAAGTGAATTAAATACTAATAAACAAAGCAATGATGTTAAAATACCATATTTGTATATTAAAATTTAGCAAAATATTTATACAATGTCTTATTTCATTTTTCAAAAATTATGAAAATTTAAATAGTAGTAATAAGCCAGTAACCCATATATTTACTAATTATGTTTACATATTACGATTGTGGTGTTTTTTTTTTTATTGGATCGATTGTGGTGTTTACATGATGTTTAATCGTCTTGTTTCCAATTCCTTATAAAGATTATCATAAACTTATAATCATATGTGTGTATATCTTGTTATTTCATTAGAAGATACTAATATAATTTATAGTCAGTTATGTATTTAAATTAGTATATCTTCTAATGAAAAAAAAAAGAATACGGAATTTCTGTATGACTAAGACGTCTCTATATCCCATCACCCAAAAATTGTTTCACATAATTAATCACATATTAAACCAGATGTTAGGCTGTTGTTTTGTGTATATCTTCCACATCTGTACATATTTATATACACTATATATATAGACCCACAAGAGAGAAGAAACTATTTATATTCAATAAAATAAGTTTAATTTCAGATAAGGTTTTCATAGGATCATCTAAGTGACCAAAATAATAACTGATGTTTAATCTAAGTAAATAACGTTTGAATTGTAGATATTGTATAGAAAACACTGAAATTGTAATGGTTGTTCCGCCCTTCGTATAATAGTAACCTTTTTTCTATCACATGTTCTTAAATTTAATATATTAACATATCTAACTAATTCTATTATTTTATTAAATAATTTTTAGAAGAAGTCTGCAATAATAAAAATATACATATTTTATCGTAATATGCAGCCATCAATTTTTATACTCGGTGGATCATAGATGTTTTATGATGAGTATTAGATAATCG